GACATGAAGCCTCAATTGAATTTCACATAGACTTGCTTTCCAATAGTTATTCGTGAATGATGGTTTTCTGATTTTATGATGTCTATCAGGACATATCATTCGAAAAGTAAGCATTGGTTGGTCGGAAATGAAGCAAGGTTGGATGACGATTTCCATTCTTCATGCGATCCAACAATCTTCACTTCACTAAATTTCCGGTTTGGCCCATACAAGAATTTCTTACAACCAATTTTTCCTTCGGAATGAAAAATCATGATACATTGACTCACTAAGGCATTATTTTTAAGCCATCTTTTCTTTTAGTCGAAGATATTGTTGCAAGCATTATGCTATCCCTCCCGGATTTTGCAACCTAATGAGGAAGTGTCATTTGGACACAGTTAATGGAATACTTTATTCATCCAGAAATTGGAGGAAAGTTACAGGACTAAGAGGCGTATGCTATTTAAGCTCATAGATATTAAGTCTGGATTTAGGAAGGATCTAGGCAAAGTTATCACTCCGGATGATTTTAAAAAACTCCAGAATATGACTGACCAGAAGTCACAGAGGGTCCCGGATTTGATAGATAAACGACATGACAAAAAGTTGCTTAGATATGGGATAATAAGATAGCGCAGGATCAAACCAACTCGGGCCAATTTTAAAGGTCCTGTATTGAAGGCATCATCTGCTACAACTGACAATTGCGATAAAGTAGTAGACCTGTCGTCAATTACTCTTTATTCCTAAACGGTGAATCTCCTGAATCAAGATTTAATTGTTTCAATCGGTAAAGAAGGAATCATTTTAGAAGATATCCTTGTAGAAGTTATCAACATCTCTGGGAACTTCCCAGGAGAGTCCAATCGAGTAATGTAAATTGAACTGATCCCGATAATTATGCCCCAACAAGAGCCAATGAAAAGAAGTGGATTGATGAAGATACTTAGAAAAATTACAAATGAATGACAGTATATTTCTTGAGGCGGATAAGGGATGTGCGACGGTAAAAATGGACAGGCAACATTACACGGAGAAAATGAAAAGTATCCTAGGCGACCGGAACACTTTTCAAATAATAAGAAAGGATCCAACAATGAAAATCAACGGAGCACTGAAGAATATGCTAAAGGAAATGCATATTAATGAGGAAATTAACAGATGGATAATGAAATTCTTAATAAAAATGACGCAAGAATACCGACAGACTACGAACTACCGAAGATACACAAGGAATGAAATCCGCTAAGATTAAGAGTCAACAAAAAGCATGGAGCAACACACAAACTAGCGAAATTAATTTGCTTGAAGACTAAGCAGGTAAATGACAGACTCTCGAATACCGTTAAGAATTCATACAAATTTTATCAAAGGATCCAAAATATTGGAGTGGCAGGGACAGAAATCTTGGTAGGTTTTGAGGTACAATCCATCTACGCAAACATTTAGGCGAGAAGGTAGTCATCGTACTGCTGGAGGAGGGTATCCTGGAAACTGAGTGGAGGCGGAAGGAGTCGTTAACACGGCTAATCAACCTGACAGTAAGTACCACATATTTCGCATTTAACGGAGAACAATCGGAAACCAAGAGAAGACGTCTACAGTGAGCCCATTCAAATTAAGTAGAAGCATCACACTTAGGGGTTGGCAGGCAATAGAATGTCATAGAAGAGCGAGAGAAACGCTAGTTGGCTATTATAGATAAGTTTGCCATTAGACGTGGTCCATGAAGTAAATACTTGACGACGATATTGACTCGTTGCACATACCGCAGCGTCAAGTTAGGTTGCCATGCCAAATGAGAATCCAGACTTTAGGAGCTTGCTCAATAAGGTTGGTGTATTCGCTCTATTAAAGGCTTGAGGCAGAGAGTATAACAACGCCTTGAGTGGCACAGGTACTGTTTCAGCGATGAAGTGAATTCACTGAAATAGGAATTTAAGGGAATGATACTACGGAGCAAGAGGGAACTCTGATAGTACCCAAAGATAAAGGATTATGGATTAAGCAGCAGCATTGAATCAACACTCCCGGCACATTTGGAGGGATGATGAAAACAACGAAGAGTGTGGTCTAGATGAGAAAATAAGAAATGGTGATATCGAAAGGGTGATACGAGGATATAGAATAGGGGAATAGCCCAGGACCGAAGGAGAAATATCACAACTGTTTAGCACACATTTGGTCAAAGGGTCGACTTCACTTGTCTCTTTGACGAGTTTTAATGTGCTGCTAAGAGTGGCAAGGCTCACTGACGATGCCGACTTCGATGCCGGCGAAGCGCCTGAGAATGTACCAAATCCACGGTTCGACTATGGCAATTATCATACATACTATGTACTCCGGACAAGGTGCGTTCTTCTAGGTCTTCCTGCCAATATGCCCAAGTTGCTAAAATCAGGTCATAAAACTTCCATCTTTTCTTTTACCGTATCGTCTTAAATACTTCGAACACGACTACGTCCAATTTTTGACTTTGCAGACTGCCAGAGTAGGAAATGTCTTGATGTAGCCATCTGTCCTTTAGCCGCACCAATCACGCTCTTGTTTGGCGTTTACGCATCCAAATTTCCCATCATCTCTGCTCTTCTCTATTGCCCCATTCGCTTATCACCTAAACCCTCAATTCCTCAGTCCAGCTTCTCATCCCTTCGGCTGGCCGCTCAGACGTTCGATGAAGGGGCAAGACGTATATATATATAACTGAAGCAAGTTTGCGACATCGCTTCAGTTTCCTCACCGCTCTCTGTCTATCTCTTCCTTGTTAGATATGCCCTTCCTTACTTTCATCCTACTCAACAAATGAGCTCGGAAATAGCTCACATCTATTTTTTAACCACTCTCATTTACAGGACAGAAAGGCTAGCCTCGGGACTACCAATAAATCCTGAATAAGAAATGTATTCCTCCTAGGTAAAAGTGAAGAAGGGCCTCAGTGATATCATAATACCTCACGGTCACAGTCAATATCGTTTAGTCGTGTTTCTCAAAAGGCATTCGCTTCCAGAGCTGACTGCAGTTTCTACCTCACATTTGTCTTATCAGCACTCATAAAGATAATCGAACCTGGGTGGAGCAGTATATGCTTTCGACATGTTGGAGAACTTTTTACTTCATTTGAAGAGGCGACTGGAAGGAATTTGTAAATTGGTCAAATTGAAAAATTTAACTTTAATGTAAATGAGGCCTTTGCATATCATATTCATATTAAATTAGTCGATGAGACAAATTTTTTTTTTTTGTTAATTAGGTTTTCGCCACTACCAGTATATATCGAATTTATTCACCCTATTTCGCTTAAGTGATTAAGGACTTTTCGTTGAATTTTATCCACCTCAAACGAATTAGGATGAATACCTCTCAAACTTGTGTTTTGCCTTGTGATTTAACGGCATCATTTGTATTGTAACTAATCTGGTTCAATTAGGAGTAGTGATGAGACTGAAGTGAGGCGAGGTAAAAACTGCAGTCCATCTTGGATGAGAATAACTTTTGTGAGGCTAGGCTTTTTGGAATTCATTGGCATCTTGAGACCTACTTATATCATTATGTGAAATCTAAAATCCAGTTCATTACCTTCTTATTCGACCTAGGGTAAATACAGTAGTTTAATCGGAGTCTGCCACAGCTTAACGTTGGGGAAACTTATATTTATTTAAAGGCGAGTAAAAGGAGTTGGCTCCATCGGACAGCGAATGAAAATTTCATCCGAGCTGTGGATAATTAAGCTGTGAAATGAAGATCTCGGCTCACTGCATTACAACCTTGGGTTAGTGATTTGGTTAATTTTTCGTTAATAATGGTTTCTTTCTTTGGCGATGCCTGTCATGCTACAGGCATGGATTTGTCGGCATCGCAGAGCGGTGAGCCGATATCTTCTTGGCACCATCCCCCAGTCACAACTTCAAGGCAATCCTCCTTCGGATTATGGTTGGGCCATTTTAAGAATCCCTTCCACTCACCTTTTCAGAATAAATCACAAGTAGGTCAACATTAATTTTTTAGGGCACTTTTCAAAGCCCAGCTTTTTGTTATGTCGCATCGTCAGACTGTTGATATTCCGTATCTCAGAGCAAGTAGGCCCTTTCCCTAAACTCCGGACTCGCAACAAAATCATACAGCAGCCGTTTAGTTTAGGCATTGATTCCCAAACTGTGTGTCGAGGTGCCCTGGGGAGCCGCGGCTTCTTTACAGAAGCGCCGCGAAATATTGTAAAAGCTTTAATCTGAGGAAATGTGTAGTGATTTGCAGACTCGTCCATCACATTAACTATTAATTTAATGTTAATAAAGTATAAATAAATAATGTAGATATACCATTTTTAGTTTTTTTATCTCTTACGAATAGTCATACTTAGCGTAGGGCGCCATGGAAAAATTTTAATTGAAAAAGGGCGCCGCAACTAAGAAAAGTTTTGGAACCACTGCGTTAAGGTATTTTCTGCTGCCCATTAAATTGTAATTATTTTTGCAATATTTATTTTCTCAGAAACTTAATTGGCCAATATCGTTTGAGACTGACCCCTCAGGCACGTCGCTATCTGAATGCAGCAATGAATGCCCTTTCGCACTACCTTTCGTCGTCTTCGGTTGTTGAACATTCATGCCGGAAAGAACAGTCGCCTTGCGAGCTGTCTCGAGCCGCTTCAGTCAACAGTGCCTCTGCTCAAGCCGCATCGGCTGGTAATGCCTTATTTCTTCGCGCTCAATACGATGCTCTGCGTCGCCTCCGGGTCTACTGGTTGCCTCGTTGGTTGTTACACTGGGAAACGCGAGTCACAAATACCTCTTTACCAGGAATACTGGGACTATTGGGACTGCCAGCGCCGGAATTGTCTACTCCTGGTCAACTCAGTGGCAAGTCGGATCCCTTAGACGGAACTCTGGCCAGTTCAACTTCTCGGCTAGCTATCACTGCTGTCTCACTTAATGAGCCGACGGCAAACCTACAAATTGGGCTTTCCGGCTCTTCAAGTGGCCAGCAGATTTCAACACACACCTACACTATGCCATCCTCACAGACAACCAAACAAACTAGTAGGATGGCTGCCTTGGAGGGGACCAGTATTCCAACAGGCCGAAGCACCGGAGCAAAGATCTCAGAGAGAAAATGTTCATTTCAGTCGTCAGATCGTTTTTACTTGCCGACCAGTTATGCGTCTGTCACTACGAACACCAGCACGAAAGTGGCGGGAGACATAGCTGATACCAACACTAAACAGACTGCGTTTTCACTTGTTCGCGAAAGTCAGCAAGTCGAAGCATTCAAGACACCATTTTTGCATGTATTTCCGCGCCTGCATCCACCACTGTCTGATTTGTTTGGTTCAGACACAAATCTGAACGCAGAAATCTTTCGTTCGCAGCCAGATGTAGCTCCATTGTTGTACCCTGTTTTGCCCGAATGTTGTCGCAAAGAGAGCAACGCCGACTCAGGCTTCAGCAAAAACAGCCAAGCATTGACATGGCATCCTCAGCATATAAACCTGGCGTGGTCTCTTCCCTGTCGGCCCGACTTTCTCTTTCTTGTTGGCCTCCGACGTTCTAACCTCTCATGGTCTCAAATGAAAAAAACAGGTCTTCAAGCATCCGAGCGCCTTATGCCTCTTGCAGGCTCCATAAACTCAACACTTGTCGATCTCGCTTCACAAACGGCACAGAAATGGAAGACTATCGATTTGCAAGTTAACACCTCATGTACCAGTGAGGTATCTGATAAAACTCAGCTATTCGGGCAGACAGCAGAGCATCTTCATAGGTTGCCACAGTACTTGGAGGAAAGTGAGGAGATAGACTTGAAATTGGTAAAGGAGAATGAACTTGTGCAAAAGGTGCGTGCGACAATCCTTGCAGACGCTTCATGTGGTGGACCATTTAAGGCCTATTTGGGAGTGTAAGTTCATTTTTCATTCTTGTACTTTGGAAATACTGCATATGCTGTATTATCAACTATGTGTTAATGACCATCATTTGGCTTATTTTCAATATGATTATGCTTAGAAAGTATCACTTTTTATTTTATTTAAACTAGTCAACTTCATGCTGCCATTGAATTTCACTTAGCCTAACCTCTTAAAATGTTTACTGGATTAGAATTTTGACCCTGCCTAGGTCTCAGCCACATCTCAGGTTTTGTATATAAACTTGTGACACGTTACCACTATGCCAGACGGCCCTAAGTGCAAATGGGTCGCGGGGCAGATCTT